AACTTCATTAATGATGACTTTGTTTTTATGAGAAGAAGCTGAAAAGAGAAGAGACCCAGGAGAAGTCCAAGACGATCAAAATGGTAAGCTGAACATATAAAGGCGTGTTTTTTTTTATAGCGTAATTATTAGAAATTTTCTCAGCAGAACCTGTCACAAAAAATTCGTTATTTTTAAGATGGTCCGCTAGTCTTTTTTTTTTTGTAGTTTGTCAGGTTGGCTTATGTTTATTTTAAAGAGAATCCTGAGTATTTGCCAATAATTTCACGTCCAACCTTGGCTGTTAATTATTCTCAATGACTTGGTTTGTGTTGTGAGTTTTAAGCTCCACAATTCATGTAAAATTTCTCTCGAAAATGGCCAACATCAAAACAAAAACAAAAAAAAAATCAAAAAATCAACGGAACAACAAGAAATTTACGTTTAAACCAAAAACTATTAAAAAGTTATTTTATAATAACATACAATTACGTTTTACTTATTATAGATATACCAAGGGTGTGGCGTCGATCTCCCGGCTATTGTTGCTTACGTTACAAGAGAGTTTACCAWTGCATCAACTATCTTTGCGGAACGAGATGTCACAAAACAGGCTGGTGGCTTGGAGMMAAAACAAGATGTCATCATAGATACTGTAGAAGGTGCTTTTGGACTAAGACATGCACAAAAGGTTACCGCTGCCCTTAAACTTTTCTCAAGTTAAATTGTATTTGTTAGACTTTTCGATTCTCATAATTAGTAATAACACTTATYATCAGTCTCCTAATGAAAAATCCATGGCTCAAGTTGAAAAGAGAAATGAATCGTCCTTAGGGACCGTYATTTGAAACTGACAGATAAAAGACTCGTATTGAAACAACAGCTTTTACTTCGCTATACACCTCCACGCTCATCCTAAAACAGCACAGGGAACCCAATCTGCTATAAAATCTAATGCACTCCACGCAGTCAGTCAGTAAAATCGTTTACTGATACTTTGACGATTAAGGTTAATAGGAATCTTGGTATTAAAACTTTCCGTGGCAAACAGAATGGTTCAGAATGGATCAATCTGCCTTCTGAMGCAGGACTAGTACGAAAACAAAAACAAAAATTTAAGATAAAAAAGCYATTATTTTATATTTTTTATATAAAAGTTATTATTTTCATCCACACACAGAGCCTTCAATTTTCTGTTGGAAACTGATGATAAGCAGGATCTTAATGGACTGCGAGAAACCTGGTATAAACTGTTAACTTATTAAGATTTCATGCTTTTCTAGCTGATGTACACCTAATTGAAAAAACGTAGCGTGTCACGAAAAGGTCACATCATAAAAGACCGAAAGGGATTTTGAGTACCACTAAATTGGGATTAAATTTGCATATACGGTGTATACTAAGCAAGTAGAGCTAGTAAGATTAACAGCATGATAGTCTTTTATGCTGGARAGCTGTTTGTTATGAAATTATCCAAATTGTTTGTCTTCCCAAGAACCCTTTCCGTCTTAGCTTCTATGATTTGACCTTTTTGTATCCGACAACGTTTCTTCAATTAGGTGTAAAACTTACACATAAGCGAGAAAATTGTGAACTGATATTGTCTAAATCTTTGGGACAAATTAAAATGATTAAATTGATTGTTGTGTAATGATGTTGATCCAAAATCTCAGTACAATTTGAGTCAAAAAATAAATGTGAATTTGGTGTGAAAACTCGTTTTCTTTGTGAATTTACCCAAGGTTCGCCAAACCTACCAAATTTCTAATTTTGACGTCCTCTTTCTTGTATTGTGGTTTAAGTTTTTAATTAGATTAATTTTAGAAACTCCTCRTAACCAGTCCCTTGCTTGTTTGCTTAAGATCAGGGGCATATATTGCGAACAAAACAGAGTCAAAGATAATAACCAAATGGAGTTGAGGGTCTTGATGAGGTTAACAGTCATATGGGCAAAATTTTAGACTTCAATCGTCAAATCACTGTTTTTTATAACCGTCAACCGTTAAAAGCCAACCTTCAAGACAGTCAACRTAATGAATTACAAAACATTTTCTCCTAACATCAGCGTTTTATTCTGTAATCCATCCCTCCCTTAATTGACCTTAATTGTGCAACAAGTGCTTTAAGCCTTTTGTTATATATTATAAGTGTATGGTAATAGTATAAATGTCACATTAATCAGGGTCATACGACGTTATTCTAAAGTCTATGTTATAAAAATCAATAAATAGCTTTGCTAAAATTCAGTTTATATTATTAATTTCTTTGTTGTTAAATATAAATTAGCCCGTCAAATTGTAGCAAAATTGTATTAGATAGCGCATTATAGAGAAGACTAGACATTTTGACTATTTTGCATTTCTTAATTTCTAATTTTCCTTGTATGGTTTGAGTGTTTGTATGTCTAGTGTGGRCATTTTGGCAAGGCCACGAATACGTATGACTACTTAAACATTTTTAACGTGTCATTGTATTTAAATATCCTTTGTWTGTCTTCGGAAACACAGACTACCAGAACTAGCTTTTGCTTTCTTTTTCTTATTGCAGTGAAGTAAGCAAAAAAAGTTCCCGTGAAAATGTCCGCTCATTAGTGCCCCATGCAGATATTATCTAGATATTACCCTGTGACTAATACTGACCTTATAGTACGCTCTAATTGCATTGTTTTCTTCCGCGTACTATTTCAGTAACACACTTTAATAGTCAAGTTTTGTTTCAAGAATTAAATGATTTTAATTATCCTGTCTTGTTATACTGTTTAAAATGATGTTACCAAAATATACATAGGAAACGGTTTCCCATCCCAAAAATGAGCATCGTAAGTGCGAACGTGCGAACTTGTGCAAAATGAGACAGAGCAAGGACTAATATCATATAATATAAAAATTAGGTAACACCTAATAGCGGAGCTCCAATAGCAATATGAAGCTGAAAATGATTATCTAGTACTGCTATTTCAAAGGTAGATGCTTTGTTCTAAGGAATGTGAGCTACAACAGTTTTGTTGACATGCGAACAAATATTATAAAGAGTATGTTAATGAGAATTTAGTTCGTACTATATATTGACTTCGGTAGACTTTGTTCCGTTGGATGAAGTTTAAAATTATAATCTATAAAGGTCAATTGATTACTAGTAAAAGTAAACTRAAAGCTTCTCGGCAAAAAGTAGTCTACATAAGCTTACAATAATCAACAATGTTTCAATAATCGATGTTTGAACCCGGACTACTCGAAGGTCCTCGAACTTCATATAATCACAGAAAACT